GCACGGTCGCTCAACTGCTATAAATGGCCTATTATCTGATTTTAGTACATGTTTTAACCTATGGTGCAATTTTAAACTTTAACCGTTTTATTTCATTGTTTTTCAAGGAAAATTGCAACGTTATTTAAAATACGTCTCGAACCACGTCACATAAATGCACTCGCGGTTCTCGACATATTTTATCTAACATTGTTGAGATTTGGATTTGGGTCACATAAATGCGCACCCGAATATAGGAAGGTAAAATATTAAAATAACGCGCCCAAAGCAACTACGCGTTTGTAACTTTGCGAGGGCCATGGAAAATTCAACTAAATGGCACACCTTGAATTATCAAAATTATACTCGGCCACCCATATCAGCCAAACAAGTCAAAGGCCATTAATCTAGTATATCTAATATACACATGTAAACCCGGAACAAGAGGAAAGGTGAATCAACAACAATGAAACATTTTTATTTTGTTAAGGTAAATCATATTCATAGTTCTGTAACCCAAAATCTTTTATACGTACGGCCTCCACATAACCAAATGAAACTAAGCAAATGAGTATTCAGGAATAGTAACGACAAATACTAATACTAATTTTTGTCCAAATAAAACTAAGCAAATGAATATATCATAGTTTTCTTTCATTAGCTAGCACTGTTCCGTCGACTACAGTAACGACAAAAAGAACAATTTGAGCAAACAAATACTAATCTTCAAAGATAAGATACAGGAGAAGTCATAAACTATTTTTAGGCAGAACCATATTGAGAGTCTAAATTAAGAAGAAAAAATAAATAAATAAATACATTTAACACCAGAAAAGCTTGATATGAACTTCAAATAATATATTATCACTAGTAATGTCAACATAAATCTTATTTAAAATAGCATGTCTACATTGTAGAAAACAGCACCTTAATGCTAAAAAGAGGATGGCTGATTCCAACAGCCTAATGGAGAAAAAGGATGGGATGGAGCTCGGCTATTCCGGTATCAACAACAGCAGCAGATTGCAGATTAAATCCAAATCGGAACTCGTAATGCATGATCGAACGGCAGCTTCAACATGCGACGAGCTCAAACCAAACCCAGATGTTTTTATCTCTGCTTGGGATCTGATGGATTTTGCCTTAGCTTAGGAACTCTAAGGATAAGGTCTGTTTATTGTGATTTTTTAGAAGAGGAAACAACGGAGAAAACCAAAATGGGAGATGCACCGTTTTTTTGAAGGGGTCTATTGTATGGAAAAATTTGATTCCTTATGCGTAGCCTAATCCTATCTATATAGGTTTAGGTCTAGGTTTTAATTGGAAGAGTATGAGTTTTAGGCTAATGGGTTCAAGTGTATTTGGGCTAGGTAGGAAAATTTGGGCCTAATTTGGTACAAGAACTAGCTCAATATCCAGTTAAATTTTTTCTTCAAATTCTTTTTCTTATCTTTCTTTTTTTTTTCTTTTATTAAAAATCCTAAAATTAAAATCCTAGGTTATCTAAAAATATTAAATTAAACTAATTACAAAAATTATAAAAGCTATTTAATCCTAAATTAAAAGAGAAAAAATCAATAAAAGGAAAAAGTGTAACAATGAAGCAATTTTTCCGATTTTCAATTTATTATAAAACAAGCAACTACCGATTGATCCTAAGAATGTAAAAATAAAGCCTAAATGTCATGCATGATATTTTTGGTATTTTTTTTCATGATTTAAATAAAACTCAAACATGCACAAAAATACAAATAATTAAATAAAATTCTACAAAAATTTCTAAAATGGCCGATAATTAACAAAAAATCTATTTTCTTGGGATTTTATAGGAGTATTTCGTATAGGGCAAAAATCACGTGCTTACAACAAGTGATAAGTAAATTCGTGAAGGTGAGAGGGCAAGCAAATCGAAGAAAGTGAGTGTCGTCGAAGTTTATCGATTTGGGATAAAATACTGTTTGAGCTATAATACCCGGTATTTATGGATTAGTGCCACACAAGGTACCACACGACCATAATAGTGAGGTGTATAAGGTATGTTAGAAGTGAGTAGTATTTTAAGTAATTTGAGATAACTCTTAGTTATGTGGGTAATTGGTTAATTATTAATTGTGGGGAATTATCAAGTTAATAAAGAAATTGATAATTATCTAAGATATTTTGGATAAGTCTTGAAGTTTAACGTGGCATCAATACATCTTATATTTGATGACTCTTAATTCACTTTGTAAAGGTGGCAACATTTGAAGTGATAACTACATTATATTATTTGGATGGAGAAGTGTTATCAAGAAAGCCACAAAAGGGCACGGTCATTTTCCATTCTTGTAGAGAAACATCTCTTTCTTTATTAGTAACATTTCATTCTCAACAATGAGATTACTAAATTCCCTACACAACTATAATAAAAAAACGTGAGCTTGGCACCATAGCAATATAATTCCTTACAAATTCCTACAAGTTCCTACAAAGACACTACAACGTAATTTCTTTAACCAACGAAATTTCTTAGCACTTTAGAGACGTAAAATTTTGCGGTTCTAAAGGAGTACGGTGCAATCTTTTTCAAGAATATCATACGGATTTTTTCCTACTCCAGGTATGTTAAGGCTATCCCTTCTTTCTTCTTGGCATGATCTATACGACACGAACGAAACGAGAAAATGCACAACTTCCATAAATGATTCTATTCATAGAAATACTTGAGATGCTTATATTCTTGATCTCCCATGTGTCATATTATTCTATCATCTGCTCATGGGTCTCAAAAATATGTAAGTTGGTAAAGTTTATTTCAGTATATTAATCAAAGGCATAATGGTCTTATGACGTATTGAGAGATTTTACTAACGTATTTCATATGCATTTTATGCATTTATACATGCACATTGACCCATGACCAAATGGCGTTATTTACGCGTATATATATGTGTGTATATATGTATATGGGATATGGGAAAGGTTATGGCGTTATATACGCACCACCACCTGATCTGCTGGTATACGTTGATGATTTTGCCCACAATGGCCGAGATGATATGATGGGATGCCCTCAGAGGCTTGATGATGTTATGAACACATGTACCTATACACGACATGACATTCATACACATATGCATGACATTATAAGTATTTCATGAATTACAGAGTTATCCAGACCTATTGTTGAGTCATTTACTGTATATTTCTTCCATGTCTGTTATGTACTTATTTATGTGCCTTACATACTCGGTACATTATTCATACTGACGTCCCTTTTGCTTGGGGACACTGCATTTCATGCCTACAGGTCCTGATAGACAGGTCGAGAGTCCTCCAAGTAGGCTATCAACTCAGCGGAAGATGTTGGTGCGCTCCATTTGCTTCAGAGTTGCTTGTTTGGTTGGTATGATTTAGACGTGTATTGTTTGGTATGGCTGGACTCTGTCCCGACCTTTATGAATATTATGTATTCTTAGAGGCTTGTAGACAGATGTCATGTACGTAAAAGATTGTATGGCCTTGTCGGCCTATGTTCAGTATATGAGTGGTTATTTTGGTCTTATAAGCCCGTATGTCTTATGTATAAGTTGGTATCACATGTTTTATTCTACTTATCTCATGGCAGCCTTCCGGCTTAGTTATTTATGATAGTATGGCATGAAAGATACGTTATGTTGGTATTCGGTTGAGTAAGGTACCGGGTGCCCGTCGCAGCCCATTGGTTTGGGTCGTGACAGCTACAGTAAACTCTAGTCTACTAAAAACTAGGGTTGGAATTATTGACGGTACTTACAAGTAGCAGGGTAATTTATCAGTAGGATATGATAAAGAACAACAAGAACAAGCTGAAATCATTGAAGGATCAACAGTTGAAACTTCAACTAGGAAGCATGCTAATGGAACAGTAAACCCCAGAGGTTCTGGGAATGTTTGTGATAATGTTGTAAGTATTCCGGTGGATTTTTCAGGTAGTGGCCAGGTGAGAATGTTAATAGTAAGGTGTTCTAGGATACAGTCACTCATACCATCTAACAACTGAAGGCAAGGTGATGAAAATCAATGGAATAGTGATTTCTGTGATCCTAGCTACAGTAAACCCTACGTTGGGATTTGTATGTGATCGTCAATTTAGGGTGATGCAGGAAGCATTGGGAACTACGGAGATGAATTCAATGGTCTTTAAGGAGGCTACAAGGCAGACACATGATCAAATTGATCTGGAAACAAGGGCATGTGCTTCAGAAACTGGGCAGACAAATACAAGCAAAAATGCAATTCAAATTGTTGCTCCTGCAGTTGATGATCCTGGCATTCTAGCTAGGAAAATATTTAGTGTTACAAATGGTATATTGGAAAAGGGAAGTCTCATAAATCAAAGGGGCCAAAAGGAGCTGAGGATGATAGCAAAGAACCATGAGCCAAAGCCTTTGGCACTTCAAATTGTTACTGATGAGCAGCCTGAACTAGAAGAGTGAGGAGAGGATGTTGATGAGGAATATTCAGCAATCAACTTCCAACAAATTGCTCGGCTGGGAGATTTATCACCAAGAAGTGTAGACAAGAAGAAGTCAGGTACAAGACATGCAAGGAAACAGAAGGAGAAAATCGTACCTGTTAGGGCACAACCAAAGATGAGTGGGGTCTCTAATTCAAAATAACGTCTATGGATAATTCATTAGTATGGAATGTGAGGTCAATAAATACTCAGAAAGCTTTCAATAGGTTAATTAACCTTCATAGAAAGTACAATTTCTATATGATTGGTCGTATGGAGCCTTGGCACGATATTAACATATTGGAGCTATATAGGAGAAAATTGGGAATTCACACTGCCTTAGCAAACATGAATTGGAAGATCTAGTGCATTTATTGATGAAGATATTGAAGTGGAAGTGATGATAGACATGGAACAATAACTTACTCTCCAGTTGATTCATGGAGTTTTGGACAAACATTTGATTGTTACATTGGTGTATGCAAAGTGTGATGCAATAAAAAGAATTAAACTTTGGGATTCTTTGTATCACTTAGCTTCTGACATGGAATTACCCTGTGCTCTATATGGTCTTGGTTTCAAAGGGAGTCCATATACATGGTGGAATGGGAGGTCAGATGATGCTTGCATTTTTAAGAGGATAGATAGGTACTTGGCTAATCAACAATTCCAGAACTTATTTCCTTCTTTAGAGGTTGAGCATCTTATTAAATATGGCTCAGACCATGCCCCTCTCCTATTGTCATGTAATGTGAATGTTGTTCAAGTGAAGAAACCATTCAAGTATCTTAACTTTTGGACAAAATATGAGATATTTTTGGATGTGGTGAAGGAGAATTGGAAGACTAACACTATGGGAAGCCCTTTCATTATCTTTCAACACAAGCTAAAGAATATGATAAAGCACTGGTTGTTTGGAGTAAAGTTAGCTTTGGAGATATTTTCAAGTAAATAGTAGCACTGAAGGATGTTATTAAATTTCATGAGGTGGAGTTTGAGCTCAATCCAATTGCCAACAATAAAGCTAAACTTCATAAAGTTCAGGCTAGTTTCACAAGGTATTTACATTTAGAGGAAGAGTTTTTGGGACAAAAGGAAGGGATGCAATTATTCCAAGATGGTGATAGAAACACCACATTCTTCCATATTCATGTTAAAAGGAAAGAGGAAGAGATTGCAGGTGTCAAGAATTTTAGATAACAATGGGATATGGCTTGAAGATAAGGATGATATGGCACAGGAGGCAATGGAGTTCTTCAAGGCTAAATTCACTGAAGATAAGGTGCCTACAAATTTTGATATTCTGAATCATATCCCAAAGATGATCATTTAAGAGCAGAATCATAATCTCTAGGCAGAACCTACCTTAGAGGAGGTGATGAAGGTAGTCTTTGGGTTGAAAGGTGAGAGTGCAAGTGGGCCAGATGGTTTCACTGGCCAGTTCTATCATGTGTGCTGGGAAGTAATAGGGGAGGATGCGTGTAACAACTTATTTTGTGGTGCTGAATTGCCTAAGCGGGGATGGTTGGTTTGGGTTTGAAAGGGTTTGGGTTAAAATCGGAATACTTAGTTCCTTAATAGTGGTCTAAGATGACCAAGTTTGACCTAAGTCAATATTTTGAGTAAATGATCTCGAAATCGGGATTTGATGGTACCAATAGGTTTGTATGATAATTTTGTACTTGGGCGTGTGTTCGGATTGAGCTTCGGATAATCCATGAGCGTTTTTGCGCTTAATGTTGAAAGTCGGTGCATTGAAGGTTTTCAAGTTCTTTAAATTTGGCTTGAACTAGAATTAAGTGTAATCGAGGTCTGTTTGGGATTCTGAGTCTGAGAATCGGTTCATATGGTGATTTATGATTTGTAAGCAAAATTTTGGCATTGTTCTGAGTTGTCTAAGTATGATTCAACGTGTTCGGAGCTAGTTAAACAAGTTTGAAGTTCATAAGTTGATTAATTTTATTTTGGGGTGCGATTCTTAGTATCGATGTTTTTTTACATTTTTCGAGGGTTCGAGCAGGTTCATATATTGTTTATGGAATTGTTGGTGCAATTGGACGGGATCCCCGGTGGCTGTGAATTTCGGACCACCCGGAGCTAAGTCTGAAATTGCTGATATGCTTGTTATTGCTTCCTTCTTGGCAAACGCGGAGGTGGTACCTTGTTCGTGGACAAAGAATTGGGGGACTTAGCATTTTTCTCTTGGCTTTCGTGGTCAACACGTTGCGTTCACAAAAGTTTTGGACCTGTGGCCTTCGCGTTCGCGTGGGCAGGTACGTGTTCGCATAGAAGAATGGGGCTTGGGAGGGGTCAGCTGCCATTACTCTTCGCGATCGCGAGTCTGCCCTCGTGTTTGCGATGAAGGGTTCCTGGTCTTGGGCATGCTTTGCCTTCGCGATTGCGAGGCTTCTTGCGCGATCACGAAGAATGATCACCAGGTAGTAGTCTTGATTAAAAATGAGACTTTGGCTTATTTTATTCATTTCTCTCAACTTGTGAACGATTTTAGTGCTTTTTGGAGAGAGCTTTTCATCTAGCACATTGAGGTAAGTAATCTCTATATAGTGTGAGTTTAATACATGGATTATGGGTAGACTTTAACATGTAAAATGTGGAAATTTTAGGATTTTGTTGAAAAATCTAGGTTTTGATAAAATTGGGATTATACCACGAAAATTGTTATGAAATTGAGTAGAAATTATATATTTGTATTCGTGAGATTATTGGTAACATTTATGTATAAAAATTTCCGGAATCCGGACACATATGCCCGGGAGTAAATTTTAGAAATTTTCTATATTAGGTTGGGTAGTCACTCTAATAGTCAAATTATGAACTTTTGAGCATATATGATTAGTTTGTATAACCTTTGGCTAGTTTCGGATTTTCTGACTCCGATTTGAGGCTATTAGTGTGATTTGTGACGAGAGTCCGTACGTAACTAAAATTATACTTATGTCCGGGTAGACTTAGGATTTTACCATGCAATACTTAAATTATTTGCACCCAACTTGTTAGTTTAATTACTTGAATTTATAATTGCAATTGGATAAAGGAATTTTAAAAGACTGAGCTTCATTACTTTGAGTTTTGGCGGAATACTTAAGTGTTAGCATAAATTAGGGTTTCTTTGAGTATTATTCATATATAGTAGTCGTTGATCGGAGTTTGTAGAGTTCCCTCTATTCCTGTGGATCGGGCCGAACGTTTCGGCAATATATTAGATGCATCTATGGTTCGTGTCGGTCGACCTTCGGTAGTGCACACACTGTTCTGGATTGGTCCCTAGAACCTTGACATAAATCGTACATGATACTGCTCTGAGTCAGATTATACTTGATATTTTTTCTTGATCTAAGACTTAAAAAACACTTGGTGGCTCTTATGTGTTAAACACTTGGCCTGTGATAGTTGGAGACTTGAAATTGATATTATGTTTAAGAATCAGTAATAACTATTTCTTATATCACTGTTTTTGTTGTATTTCATGCCTATTTATGATTTTTACACTTTATTGACCTCTAGTAAGTGTCGATGTCGACCCCTCGTCACTACTTCTTTGATTTTAGACTAGATACTTACTGGGTACATGTTATTTATGTACTTACGCTATAATTCTGCACTAATCATGCAGGATCTGAGGTAGGTGCATCTGGTGGCCAGTCGGGCACGTACCCCCGCTACCCGTAGACTTAATGGATAGTTCAATATTGGCTTGCCTAGCGACGACGTTGGGCGCCATCACGACCTATAGTGAAAATTGGGTTGTGACAATTACTTATGTGAGTCTACTTATCACATGACAAGTGGACTCATGGGTTCCATTGTTGGGATCAAAAATAATAAGGCGTCATGCGGAAGCAAACGAAGCAAACCTTGGTGACAATAAACCATACGACACAAAAAGAATATTGAAAGAGGCATAATGTTTTAATATGGTTTGGTCAATTATCCTACATATGAGAAAAACTAATATAAAAATATAAAGAACTATGGGTAGAATAATCTCCCATAAATAAGACTCTCCTAAGGACTACATTGTGGATTCTATTCTATGTTATTATGTGAAGGAAGAATTCTCAATATATCGAGGCCACAACATTTTCATCAAGAAAAGAATCTGTCAGATATGGAAGAGATCTATATTTTTTTAAAGAAATTAAACAATTATGGTTAATATTCTACCTTTTCTTCAGGAAAAAAAATTCCAAATAAGGTAAAAAAATTAGGATAAATTCCTAACATCCATCTCTTGTTTTAAATCATACAATAAACAAAGCAATGTGTTTTCCTAATTATGAGGCTTAGCTAGAGGACAATAAAAGGATTAAAAAGTAAAAAGATCACGCTATCGGCATGGAAAAAGGATCGTACTGAAACCTTTAGTTTCAGCAAGGTCAATTTTTTTTGCTTTCATTATACTTTTCACTTGGAGATCATGCATTTTATCCATTCTCTAATCACATTCAAGAAGATGCAACAAAACATACTTTACACTCCAAGAATATGGAAACTTTGCGGCAACAAACTTCTTAAGTTCATCATCTTCTGTCTTGTACTTCTTTTCAAGAGCATTCCACAACTCTTTCGAAGTTTCCATGACACTGTAAATGTTGTACCAACCATCTTCCAAACAACTCAATATATAATTTTTGCACAAGTAGTCAGAATGCTTCCATGCCTCCGTGACCACAAACCGCTCATTAGCCAGAGTTTCTTCTCCCAAGACTGGAATGTCCTCGCTGATAAAGCGCTGCAAACTGAGTGTGGTTAGGTAGAAGAACATTTTCTGCTGAAGGTATAGATCGAATCAATATTTTTATTAAAGAAAATGATTACATTATTAATTTTAAATTTATGATTGTAGGTATGGTCATATATGAAGCGTTTCAAGTTGCGGTATTTATTGAAAAACTGCCTCCAATGTGGAAGGACTTTAAAAACTACTTGAAACACAAGCGCAAGGAGATGACGTTGGAAGACCTTATTGTTCTCCTTAGGATTGAAGAGGACAACAAGGCTGCAGAAAAGAAGTCTCGTAGAAATTCAACAATAATGGGTGCATATGTTTTTGAGGAAGCTCCGACGAGCAAAAAGAGAAAGAAGTCGTCTGGACCAAAGAATTTTCCAAGCAAAAAGAAGTTCAAAAGTAATTACCACAACTGTGGAAAGGTTGGACACAAGGCTGCTGAATGTCATGCACCAAAGAAGGATAAGAAGAAAAGCCAAGCAAACATAATTGAGAAGAATGACGAAATAGACGACTTATGTGCCATGCTTTCTGAATGCAATCTGGTCGGAAATTCTAGAGAATGGTGGATTGATTCTGGGGCCGCTCGTCATGTTTGTGCTAACAAGGAGTTGTTTACTTCTTATGCTCCCGCTAGTCCCGATGAGACATTTTTTATGGCAAATTCGCTACTGCAAAAATTGAAGGAACGGGCAAGATAGCTTTGAAGATGACGTCTGGCAAGATTGTGACTCTAACTGATGTCCTTCATGTTCCTGAAATGTGAAAGAATTTAGTCTCGACATCATTCTAGTCAAGAACGATTTTAAGTGTGTTTTTGTTTCCGACAAAGTTGTAGTTAGTAAGAATGAATGTATGTAGGAAAGGGTTACCTTACTGAGGGCCTTTTCAAACTTAATGTAATTTCCATTGATATGAATAAAATTTCAGCTTCTTCTTACTTTCTTGAGTTAAATAATTTATGGCATGACTGTTTAAGCCATGTCAACATCAAAACTTTGCGAAAAATAATTAATTTGGAAGTATTGCCTAAGTTTTAATGCAATAACTCGAAATATCAAATATATGTGGAATCAAAGTATGTTAAACATCCTTATAAGTCAGTTGAAAGGAATTCAAATCCTTTTTAATTAATTCACACTGATATTTGCGATATGAAGTCAATACCATCTCGCAGTGGGAAAAAGTATTTCATAACTTTTATTGACAACAGTACTAGATATTGCTATATTTCCTTACTTAATAATAAAGATGAAGCAATTGATGCATTCAAGCAATACAAAAATAAAGTTGAAACGCAACTAAACAAAAAGATCAAAATGATAATAAGTGATAGGGGGTGGCGAATATGAATCTCCTTTTCAAGAAATATGTTTGGAACATGGCTATTCACCAAACAACTGCCCCTTACTCACTGCAATCTAATGGAATTGCGGAAAAAAAAGAATAGAACGCTAAACGAGATGATGAATACCTTGTTAATAAGTTCTGGTTTACCTCAGAACTTAAGGGGGGAAGCTATTTTTACAACTAACCGATTACTCAATCGAGTTCCCCATAGCAAAACGCAACCATTCCATACAAAAAATGAAAAGGAAGGAAGCCCAACTTAAAATATTTTAAAGTGTGGGGGTGTTCGGCTAAAGTACAAGTCCCTAAACACAAAAGGGTAAAGATTGGACCAAAAACCGTTGATTGCGTTTTCATAGGATATGAAACAAATAGTAAGGCATATGGTTTTCTGGTTCATAAATCAAAAAATTCCGATATTCATATTAATATGGTAACTAAATCAGATAATGCTGAATTCTTTGAGAATATTTATCCGTATAAAAAGGAATGTGAGTCGTCTAGTGAAAAATCTAGGAGACCTCGGGAATAAGCAAAGGAAAGTACTTTTAATGAGGAAAATCCAACATGTAGTAAACGTCAAAGGACAGCTACTTCCTTTGGACCAGATTTTCTTGCATTCTTATTGGAAAATGAGCCTCAAACGTTCAAATAAGCAATGTCTTTCTCGGAAGCACATAATTGGAATGCGGCAGTCAATAGTGAGATAGAATCCATATTAAGTAATCATACTTGGGAATTGGTTGATCTTCCTTCAGGAAATAAACCTTTGGGTTCTAAATGGATTTTCGGAAGAAAAATGAAAGCTGATGGCACTATTGACAAATATAAGGCAGGATTAGTTGTTAAAGGGTTTAGACAATGAGAAGGTCTTGATTACTTTGACACATACTCGCCGGTAACAAGGATTACATCTATCCTGGTGTTAATAGCGTTAGCCGCCGTGTATGGCCTTCAAATCCATCAGATGGATGTGAAGATAGCCTTGTTATATGGAGATATGGAGGAAGAAATTTATATGGAACAACCTGAAGGATTTGTAGTTCCCGAAAAATAAAAGAAGGTGTGTCGACTTGTTAAGTGACTTTACGGACTAAAACAAACACCAAAATAATGGCATGCGAAATTTGACCAAACAATGTTGTCATATGGTTTCAAGATCAATGAGTGTGACAAATGTGTTTACATTAAGAATACTCCAAATCAAATAGTCATTGTTTGTTTTTATGTGGACGATATGTTGATAATGAGTAACAACATTGCTAACATAAATGGTACTAAGCGCATGCTTACTAGTAGGTTCGATATGAAAGACTTAGGAGTTGTCGATT